TATGCTATTGAGCTTACTGTTATGGCTACGTTTAATTAATAAATTGAATAATTTTACTATTTGAATTTACTCAGATATTTTACACATTCTGGCAACTCGGCTTTCTGTTTCATAACCCTGAAATTTGAAAAATAATTTGTCATCAAATGTCATTATTATACGAGGGTCAACCTGTCAAATTTCCATGGATAATGCTACGCCAATAATAAGTGAAAATGGTATATGTGCAATTATTACCAATAAATAAAATAAACTAAACTAAACTTTTGTATAATAATAACAGTTGATATGATAAAAAGTTTTCAGAAACTACAAAAATTTGAATGAATTACTTTTCCAAATGGATTTGATGGATTCATGGAATACAGCTTGCTTGAATAATGGTTATTACCGAGCTTATTTAGATTATTAGTTGACTTTAACCCTTTAACGTTCTCTGGTGTAAACCTAGTACCACCTTGTTTATTCCTTATTATAACCTGAAAATCTGGTTTTGATGCATCCCAAAAACATCGTCATTCAATATACGTTAGTCTCCGACGTCAGTTTATTACAAGATTTTTCTGGATGCGGTCGCATTTTTGAAAGTGGTATACCATATATACCAGTGGGACTCAAGAAGCATCAATTATGTTGTTTTATGTACTTCAATTCATATTTTTATTAATATTTATAATCCGGAAGGGATTTTGACGAATCAAATAGGTGATTATCATCTATATATGTATACTGAATAGATATAAATTCAAAATTCTAATGTTGTACTCAGTTATTTAGTAAAAAACTATACATATTCTCAACCTAGAACTTATTTTGTGAATTTTGTGTACATTTTGAATTATTTTTTCTATAAGTTCTACTCCTAGTTCAAGATTCATATTTTTATACATGCTTCATATACATGTCTCCATGAAATATCAATCAACTTTTCATTCTGTTCTTTTTGCGCTAGGAAAATTTTTCCAAATTTTCTTTCGAATGTATACAATTTCAACATTATTTTCATGTTTTGTGGTATAAAAACGATAATGAACAATTTTAAATCGCACTAATTGTTATTATAATATTTTTCTGATTTGTTTTTGATTTTGTCAATCCAGATTTCACAATATCTGATGATTGGGAAAATTTTAGGACCTTATTTAGGATCATATGGAAGTAAGATAGGGAATGTTCATTTGTTATAGAGTTTGATGTAATTTTTCTTTAGTTATTGTATATTTCGTTTTTGTTATAACTCTGTTTGAAAGCTATTGTGTTTTTTATTCTGATCCCGCAGAAATTCATTTTATTACTGCATTATTTATGAAGGTGTGGTATAGGGTTTGTACCAGAGAACACTACCTACATATTTAGTCCTAAATGGTCTCTGGTAAAATGGTTTACCGCCTAATATAGGAACGAAAAAAATAGAAAACTCGATTTCTAGTGACAAATTATCTTTTCTTGTTTCCGAAATACTACATAACTAGCATTTTCTGAATAAAATAGTCTTAGGAAAATTTTGCCCGTTAAAGGGTTGAAGTATACCAAGAGCAAAGCAATATACCTATAAAGTAGACATGATACGACAAAAGACTAAAAGACATTATTACAACCAAAACATAGACTCCTATAGAAATAGGATTTAACAGAAAACCAGAGGGAAAACCATTAAAAAAACAAGTGAGCTGATGCTTGTCGAGATAACAATAAAATCACACACACATTAAGGCGAACACCATATCAGAGAATTTTAACAAGTATGTATGCATGTACATTAACAGTATCAAAGGAACAACAACAAAGATTCAAAAACAAGTATTGGGAAATACCTAGAGCATTCTGTACAAATATCGAGACAAATATTAAATCAATTTGAATTGGTGGGAATGACTAGTAAAAAACTGAAGAAGAACACCAGATGGAATTACAATAAACAGAGGTACTTACAACAAAAAGCTTTTAACACTAAAGCAGAGTTGGCAAAATAAAAAGATTTTGACCACGGTAGCCTCTTCGTCTTAATTGTCCTAAAATGGTTGGAATCACTGTTTTTTTCCAGGAGATTTGAATGATGACAACTTGAAAGAGGCTATGGAAAAATTCTTCTTTCCCATAATTACAACAATTTTTTTCTTAGAAGTGAAACCAACAACCAAAATCGTGTTTCTCAGATTTGGTACCTGAGGATTAAAGGAATACAGAGGCAATCATTTAAATAATAGATAATTTGTTCTATATTTGAATAAATTATGCTGTTCTTCTGGTTCCTTAAATCAGCACAACGAAAATAGCACACATCAGAAAAACTAGGGTACTAAATTCGAGCCTATTTAGTGCTAATTTAGTATCAAAAAAAAAAAAAAAATTATAACTATTTTTAAAAAAATTACGTGCATGTGTGCCAGCTTAAGATTAAGCTGACACACTCTAGTTGGATAAGGTCGAATCTTTGAAAATCTAGTACCTCATATTTAGTGCTAATTTGGTACATTCATGGAACGCCTAAAAAACTAACAGTGATGTATTTATTATGAAATAACCACGGAAAAGTGCTAACTTAAGACTTGAATTAGAGTCCGCGTCAAGAGTAAAGAGTACGGTGTCGTCATATGCGCACAAACCCAATTTTGAAGACTAACCGAACTATCGTATCGATCGTCCTGCCGAACGCCAAGCACATGGTTCATTGTCGTACGGCCAGCAGGCAGAGCTGGGATCGTTACTTGAAAAAAGTAACGCGTTACTTTACAGTTACTTTTGCTTAAAAATAAGTTACTTTCGAATAATGATAACTTTATTTTCGTTACTTATTGGAAAGTAACGCGTTACTGTAACTTCGTTACTTTGAAAGTAACTTCTTTACTTTAAAAGTAGTTCGTTACTTTTAAAGTAACGCGTTACTTCAAAAATAACTATTTACGTCGAAAATTGCCTATTCCCTAATTTGACTCACCAACACAGCAGTCCAAACAATCAAATAAGACCCATACGAAATGCCAATATGTTTTTAGTTTGTGAGTCCGACTATGTGAAAGAGTATTCTTGCAAAATTCAAACGGATTAAGGATTAAGCGACTGAATAGAGTACTTGATTTTGGACAAACCTGATATTTGAAGTGTCCCAGTGTCTGCCTATAGTGTCCTTAGAGCAGAGGCGGCGCGTGGTACGCCCAAAAACGATGATTTTGAGCTTTCAAAAGAAATTTTCTGTACTACCAACATTTTATTTGAAGTACAATGTTTTTGGATTACTTATTTTCCTTTTCCTCACTCGTCAATTATTTGTAAAGAAGATAAACAATTTGAGAGAACGAGTAACTTTCATAGTAACTAGTAACGCGTTACTTCAGAAAAGTAACGTCGTTACAGTTACTTATCAATCAATCTGAAAAGTAACGAAGTTACCAAGTAACGCGTTACTTTCAGTAACTCGTTAAAGTAAAGTAACTTTTTTTTGTCGTTACTCCCAGCTCTGCCAGCAGGCATATTTATTTAGTTTATTTTGTATCCAAGTTTTGTCTAAAAAGATACCCCGCTGCTGGTTTCAGCTCACGGCCAAGGTCACGGCAGACAGCGAGAGATAGATGAGGGAGAGAGATCCGACCCGCTTCGCGCAGCTTTTCATGTCGTCACCGTAGTCTTTACTGCTGACGCGGACTCTAGCACACATACATCGAATCGATCCCGCGAGAATGGAATTCGCATGCACATATTTAGTGCTAATTTAATACTTCAGAAATGATGACCCGAAACGAATTAGTATCACATCAGCGCAGAGCTAGCACTTGTGTGCTGGGTTAGTGTTTAAGTTAACACACATTATCACTGATGACGCGATGAATTTAGAGTACTAAATTAGCACACATTTATTGCTAATTTCGGACGTTAGTTTGGGTTAGTTTGGGTTAGTTCGGGTTATTTTGGGTTAGTTTGGGTTAGCTCTGTGCTGATGTAATACTAGTTCGTTTCGGGTCGTCGTTTTTGAAGTACTAAATTAGCACTAAATATGTGCATGCAAATTCCGTTCTGGCGCGGTTGATTCCATTTATGTGTGCTGATTCAAGTCTTAAGTTAGCACTTTTCGGTGGGTATTTTGTGATAAATACATCATTGTTAGTTTTTTAGGCATGACATGAATGTATTAAATTAGCACTAAATATGAGATACTAGATTTCCGAAGATTCGACCTAATCCAACTAGAGTGTGCCAGCTTAATCTTAAGCTGGCACACATGCACGTAATTTTTTAAAAAATAGAGTTATAAATTATTTTTTTTCATACTAAATTAGCACTAAATAGGCTCGAATTTAGTACTCTAGTTTTTCTGATGTGTGCCATTTTCGTTGTGCTAATTTTTGAGACCTCTCTTCTTCTGCAGGAACTGAGAGGATTTTCTTAAAATTAAGAAACAAATGGGTATTGGCTCGGGTATTGGGCACAAAAATAATTAATTTTCTACTCTCAGACAGCCTTCAAAGGTAATAAACCATAGGGTATGCTATGCTTCAACTTGCCATGTCAGTTTGCGCCATACAGACCTCATAGTCCCTTGACAAATTAAATTTTGCATATTTTGGATATTACATTACTTTTTTCTTGTTACAAATCATAATTATCATTTTATTACGAGCAATTTAAGTATGTACCATGCAGCAGGTAGTTACGGTTTGTGTTGATAAAAAACTGAAGATCAAAAGTTTACAGTATGTAAATCTAGTAGTTTTACTAGGTATGTATCTACATACTTTGTAAACAGAAGTAGTGTCTGCTCTGCTTTTCAGCTAAAGGAGTTGAGTGTTGACATACATTAGATACCCATACCCGAGCCCATACCTTTTTTTTTTTTTTGGTTGCATCAATGCAATAGAAATGCCTAGTAAACTGAATTTAAGCCAATTATAATTAGTGAGCCTGTAATCTGTTTTTATTTTTAGGTTGTTCCTCTTCTACGCCATACAAAAAAAAACTCCTGAATGAATACCTATACTCGAGCCTATACAACTATAAACATTTACCTTAAAGTGTAATCAATTCATGTTCTCATTGGATTTTGCTAAATTGTATGCTTGCATTTCCTTATTTTATATGACTGCATTTTTTTTATACAAAAATTTTAGTGTAAACTGAAAGAAAATGAGAAAATTCATTACTTTTGCTCTATAAGCTGAATGCGCAAGAGCAATGCATTGTTTTGACGTTTCACTCATTGATTTCGAGGTTTTCATTTGTTCTGTAGAGCTCCTGCTGTTTTGATGTGAGATCTCAAGAACTAATAGCGATTTCCATTAGTCGAACCAGTGCAAAAAAAATGTATCCTTATCCTTACATGTTACATGCTTTTAGAAAAAGATGCGGATACACTCAGTGCGCACGCACTGACTGACAAATAGAAATCGCCATAAGGATCACGACTCACGAGCAGAGCAGATACAAATGAAAACTTGAAAGTATATGGCTATGTTCCGATATCAACTGTCAGTACTGAATTTACTGGATGCCGTTCCGATATCATTTTCAGTACACTGGATTCAGTCGATTCAGTACCGAATGACCACAAGAGTACGCTGTTGAAATCGGAACGGCAAATGACAGTAAAATCAGCACAAAATCCAACCCAGTACTAGTTGTATTCCTTTCACACCTAGGAGGAGCTCCGGAACAGCTCCGGCGGGGCTTCACGCGCTTATTCCTTTCGAAAAGTGTATGTTGCACCACGCATCTGTTCCCTGCAAATCGGGGGCGACTAATGGACCAACCATTCTAGGGGAGCCCTAACGATAAGTATTCCCTAAAATGACATTTTTACATGGAGAAATGTCAGTTTAAGGCATACCGATCGTAAGGGCTTCCCTAAATTTGTTGGTGGAAATGGCTATAAACATCGCAGCGAGTAGTTCGAGTGTTTCAAACTCTTGAAAGGAATACAACTACTGGCAGTTGATACGTTGATACTCTTAAGCAGACTCGGCGAAGAGCATTCGGTAGTTTTTGATACTCATGCAATTAAATGAGACTCCGCGCACGGTATCGGACTCGTCGACTCGACGTGGTCGACTCGAGTCTCATTTAATTGCATGAGTATCAAAAACTACCGAATGCTCTTCGCCGAGTCGACCGGTCCGAGTCGATTCAGGGCTGCGTTCAGATTGAACGTCGGTTGTCGCCCGAGCGCGCTATGACCGTTCAGATTGCCTTGGGTAAAATTTACCCAGCCGTTCAGATTGTCAGTAGATTTTTACCTGACGACACCCCGACGCACACTTTTGCATCCCATAAAATAGTAAGATAAAATTTGCCCCGCATGCGCGTTTGTGTTATGTTTATGTTCTAACCAATAATAAAGGCAAATATTGTAAATATTATTGTTGGGAGTTATGGCGAGTTTATCCAACAAATAAAATAAAATAGGAAATAAATTAAAATAAGAATTGAGGGTTAAGAGGTATTATTTTATATGTGATAGTTCTACCAAAAAAATCAAAATAAAATAAAATAAGAGTTGATTATCTTTGAATTTTCTTTTTCTAATTTTACAAAAATGTTAGAATCACGAACACAGTGAATTTTGAAAAGGCAACAAAATCAAAATCAAAGCATCCCATAAATAGTGATGTTATGAGGAGAGAATGCGTCTTGGCCGTTCAGATTGAGCGAATCGCCAGGCACACTCGGAGTGCACTCTCTATCGGGTACGCTCTGCACTGGACGTCGCCCAGACTCTTCAATCTGAACGCACCCCAGTGCGCGTCCTGCTTGAGACGACTGAGACAGATGACGTGTTTTTTTTCCGTTCTTTTTGACTTTTGAGGTTATGGCATTGATCAAGAACATTTTTTGGTGTGATGATGTGGTTTTAGTTGATTAGTGCCCCATTTTCATTAATTCCATTGTATTTTTAGTGGCATAGAGTCATTGTCGAGTCGTTCACTAAATCACCCACCTTATTGTACAAAATTTGAAAATTTTAAACTTGGAAATTTATTTTTCCGGCAAATCCGGCACAATGATTCGAATTCTTTGCGTCACCTTGCTTATTTCCAACGCTTGGGCCTTATATCCATCGAGAGGCAATGTCGTCGAACTCACCCCCAGTAACTTTGATAATCTTGTGATCCGAGGCGACGAAATCTGGATAGTGGAGTTTTTTGCCCCTTGGTGTGGTCACTGTCAGAGTCTGGTTCCAGAATACACCAAAGCCGCTAACGCTTTGAAGGGCATAGTAAAAGTTGGTGCTGTGAATGCTGACGAGCACAAGGAACTGGGTGGAAGGTATGGAGTACGCGGTTTTCCAAGTATTAAGATATTTGGAGCTAACAAAAACAAGCCAGAAGATTTTCAAGGTGGCAGAACAGCTGATGCTATTGTAAATGCTGGCTTAAGTGCTGCCAAAGCAAAAGCTAAAGCTGCTTTAGGGGGCGGTAGCAGCAGTGGATCTTCAAGTTCCGATGTAAGATATAATTTTTCTATGTTTTAATATTAGGTATTACCATTGGTACGAGCATTGGTATTAACCACTTTGGACACTTTCAATAGGAAACCTCGATTTCTGAGCGAGATAGGTCAAAAGGAAACCCCTACTTTGCAGCTCCAAATTTTATGAAAACTTCAATGGGTTTGCACCATTGAAGTTTCCACTTCAAACCAGATTTTGATATCTGATATCTTCAACCGTTTTGCCACTAGATGATGTTTCTCGATTTCGAGCAATAGGTACTGTAAAAGCTTCGTAACTTTTTCATTTATGAAAATAATTGATTTCTTTATAAACTTTCTAAATGCGCTTCTTTAAGCAAAATCCACTGACGCACTAGTTGTTTTCTATTTATCGGAAATATTGACTGAAGTCCGTTTTTTCTAATAGGACAACCTTCGGGACATCCTATATTATCATTAACTTACTGTTGGAAAGCTTCATTTGTGCTGATTTTAATGATATAAGGATTCATAGGTTTATCTACCATTTTTGAGAATTACATTGAAACATCCTTGTGTTAGGAAACCCCGAGGGGTTATTCACTAAGGGAAAAATGTGACAAGATTTCGTATTTAGAGTGATTTTGAGGGATTTCGGGTGATTTCGGTCAGATTTCGGAAAGATTTCAAGGGAATATTCACTGTGACAAGATTTCAGATTTAGAGCGATTTTCAGGGATTTCAGTTGATTTCTAAGGATTTCGGATATTTTAATTTGATTTTAGACTGTTACTTATTTTATAAGTATATTCGAAAGTGTATTAGTATAAACTGAAAAATGGCCGCGTTGACCGATTTATGAATTTTGGGCCAATAGGGAACTTGCAAATTTTTTTTTTATTTCAAAAATGTGTTGTACTACACTAAAGACATAGTCATGCCAAATATCAAGCATTAAAAATCAGCCGTTAATTTTTTATAAATATTTGAAATTACGCTCGAAACATCGCCATTTGAAATGACCGATTAGTGTGACGTCATTCAGCAACAAAATTCCGTTCACAGTCCGTGGTTGACAGTGACCTGCGAGCAGGTAGATTTAGATTATGGTTATGTTGTTATGTATGCCGTTTATGATAGATTTGACATTGACAACACCAGCAGCACATGGCGTGGCATCGGTGCGACCCGATTATTACTGCCCTTTGACGTCAGGACCCGTAGAAATACGTTTTTGATTTTGTCAAGAATTTCGAATTATTTGGTATTTTCAATTGAAGATTTTGAAAACCAGAGATAAGATATTATATTCTTTTCCTAATTGCATCATTTATTAGGATGATTGTTATTGTATTTTATTATTTATTTCATATTTAATTTAATGTGCAAGTTCCCTATTGCGAGGGATTTTTGGGTCTGCAGAAAGATTTCTGAGAGATTTTGGAGGGATTTCGGAGGGATTTTCGCGGATTTCGGAGGGATTTTCGCGGATTTTGGAGGGATTTTGTGGATTTCGGAAAAATTTCGGGGATTTCGGTATGATTTCGGAGAGATTTTGAGGATTTTGGACAAATTTGTGACTCGATTTCGGGGAGTGAATAACCCCTCAGGAAACTGCTTTCTAACACCCATTTTAACACATGGTTTCAAAAACAATTTTTTTTTTGTTTCTTCAAAACTGTCAAACCATAAATCTTCGTAATCAGAGCTATCCAATAAACTACCAATATATAGGGTGTCCTATTAAAAACTATCGGACTTTGGTCATTATCTCAAAATCAGGGTCAACTAGGAAAAAACCTTAGAGATCTGACCCCCACTTGCAAGCCTTGATTTTCAAGAGAAATTTACTGGGGAAAAGCGCATCTTGATATTGTTCGTCGATTTTTAACTGACACTTTCCGCAAAACCGAAGTGTGTGTGCGAAAAATTGTCGTTTTTGCTGGCATACAAAACCGATGCAAATATCTGGCTTTGCCTGATTTTGTCCGTCGGATATGTTCGATATGTCAACAAATCTGAAGTGTGTGGGCTACGCATTTTAAAAACGATGGTTTTATGTGGTGTGTGATGCATAGCTACAGAATTTTATGGTTAAAAACTTTTCAACATGACTGATCTTCGCCAAACTAAACCGAGGTCTATGGGCAACTCAGATCCGTCATTTTTGCTCGACCAAATTTGCTGGTCGAACAAAACCGTCAAACAAAAACGCAGTCTGTGGGGGCCTTAAAATCGACGGACAATATGCCGAGTCATTTTTATGCTACAAGGGGTTTTTGGAAAGTTTGGAGTTTGGCAGAGGATTTATAACTTTTCTATTTATGGAAATTTTGTCAACTTTTCCACTTGTAACTTAAAAGCGAAATGTCACTGGACAACTTCTCTTGAAAATCGAGACTCACAAGTGGGGGTCAGATTTTTTCCAACTCCTCTAGAAATAACCGAATCCCGCCACAACCATCGAATCTTCGACACCCTCCCTGTATGTATATAAACATCCACATTATAAACAGTCATATTGTTATTGTAGACAGATATTGTAGACAGATGCATATACGGGTGTTTGGTACATCGATAGGAAGTTTTCAACTCGGTTTTCAATGAGCGATAGTTGGGGTTATTTCGGAGCTATTTGATCACATTTACCCTTATGCAAAGTTTCGTCGTTTATGAGATATCAGAATTTTTAGATATTTTTGAATTTTTCCTAAAAGATATGTTTTTTTATGGTAGTAAACACTTTGACCTTTCTCAATTTTTTTTTCCGATATTCGTAATATCTGTGATGCACTCTTTCGAAAAATATGTTGCCCAAGTTATGTGTTAAAATAAAAATACACAGATTCAAAATATCTAAACATGGCGATATCTCAAAAAACGGCAAAACTTTGAATGAGGGTAAATGGTAAAAATGACCCCAAGTATCACTTATTGAAATATTCTTATTGATGTACCAAACACCCTATATAACAGTCATAACACAAGGAGCTTTAAGACAATAGTTGTAAAATTTAATTTAAGTTAGGTTAGCTTTGTCAATAAGATTTTTGTATTCTTGGACAATAAAGCATATTTACTACTACTACTACTAGTACATACTTCTAAAATAGTAGAGTAAGCCACCATTGGAGGGAGCAAATGCAGCATTACTCGTCAGTTTCAGGCTTTGACCTATAGTGCATTCTCAAAAAATTCCGTAAAAAATGCTCTTACCCAACGAATTTGCTGTATGATACGGAAATATGCAATATCAGATGTCTATATACATTCCATTTGTTAATATGTATACATTTGGAAATAGAAACATGAAAAAATTTATTGAACATGACAACCAGTGACCAAGACTTAAACTTAAAATTTATAGATTATATGGCACCCAAATTTTACCAAACTTAACTTATCAACGGAAATGAAAAACCTATCTTCTAGAATAAAATTGTTTGATAGAAAATGTAAAATATATATTGTTAAAAATAGTGATACTTTCATGGTTATCCTTGATTAGATATACGCCTATGGTATTTACTGGGTCTGAAAGTTAAATAATAATAATCATTATTGTTTTAATTCATAGAAATGGTAAATGTTAAAGGGGTACGGGAGGCGGGTTCTTTTGCGGTGGGTGCAAGTGGTAGCACAAAAATTATTAGAATTGTTGTTTTCTTATGTACTTTTTCTTTTTTTTTTTTCTTATGTTTTCAGACTTTTACTATTTCAACAGAAAAAATGCTCTTCAGCGGCAAATCGGTTGAACATATGAAAATGCAGTTTGCTTGATGGTTTCACATGTCTATGGTTTGCACCATTGAAATTTTCGAAAAATTTCAGCCTCAGATAGGGTGGGTTCGTTTTTGAAGTGAAAATTCTTTTGGGACGCTGTGAATTGGATGTTATGAAACCAAAAAGTGCAACGCAAGTTAAGACAAAGATACAGACTTATAGTATTAAGCGTGCGAAAAAATAAAACAAGACACATCTCTATGTATTTTCCCTATGGATCTCCTCTCTCAGCGGTTGTCCATAGCATACCTTTCACCGAGCCTTTCACATAATTCAGGCATACATTTTTGCCTGTGCGTATGTGCTACAAATGATATGTTTTCTCTATTTGAATAAAATAAAACATATGAATCATATCTCAGTTACCATAAGCCATTATAGAACGGTGCATAACGACCATTTTTTTGAAACGATTTTCTCCCGTCTGCCATTAAGGGTGGTTATTCTTCATGCAATAAAAAGTGGAATGGCTGAAATTTCAAAGAGCCCCGCGTGTGACAATACAATGATATGCTAATTTGAAAATGTAATGAAAAGTGGAGATTTGGATCAATATTATCCCGTCTGCCACACATTGTGAAGGTAATTCAAACAAAAATGAGTACAAGGAAGCTAAACGGCGGAAACCCTAGGTTAGTATAAAGTGTCATATTACTAATTTCAAAATGTCGCCAAAATTGGACATGTGGATCAACGAACTCCCGTCTGCCAAATTAAATTTATGTTGCATTTACGATGTATGAGATCAATAAGGAAATGGCAGAAAATCTCGGTTGTTATAATAATATTTAAAAATTTTTGGAAGTTGTATCAAAATGCTGAGATGTTGAAACAATTTTCTCCCATCTGCCATTTCAATTCAATTCAATTCAATAATGCTTTATTGTCTAAATTTTATAAAAACCATTGACAAAGCGATTCTTAAACTATACACACATTTTAATTTTTATCACAGTTAATAATATTCAAATTAATAATTAAACTAATACCCAATTGATTTTTCAAGTTGAGTAGGTACCTATCTATCACTTCAAGAGATCAAAATATAACGACATAAAATAGACTGAAATGTTAATATCACAAGCACATAGAAGAAAGCAGAAACAACATTATCATAAACACATCAAAAAAAACATAAAAAATAATAATAAATAATAAATTTCTTATAATTTCAGTAAAGTAACTGGGATAAAATACTACAAAAATAGTTAAAATATATAAAAATTCCTACACAAACAAGAAGAAAAACAA